TGAATAGACAGATATAAGTAAACATAAACTGAGCCTAGGAAAAGGATGACCATATATTCTGGCTTACCCAGAACAGTCTTGGGTTTATGCCTGTTGTACCAGCACCTTAACCAGTTAGTTTTGTTTGAACTACCAAAAGGGTCTTGGTGGGTGATTAATTGTATGATTGTCCTACCTATACGGGTTTGATTGTTCATTTTATCTTGGGGAGCCCTTTAGATCTCCTATCACTTACAGGCTGAAGTCCAAACACCTTACTATTTTACAAAGGCTTTCGCCTTGTAGTACAAACTCCATCTGGTATATCCACCATCTATAAATCACATCCACTACTTTCACCTCCTCAAAAGTGACAACCCTATCTCACATTACTGCCTTCCTTCTGTTCTACCTCCACACTGCCGATCCAGAATCTACTCAGCATGACTTCCTCTAGGAGGCCCTCACTCCGTCCACTCAGGGTCACCTCTGTCAGCACATGAACCCAACTGCTTTACAGACCTTGCCCCATCTTATCTCCTACTACTTAACTCTACAGAGGATTTTTCTAATCCATCTCTTTATCCCTTGGCACACAATTAGCACTGAATAACATGTTTGTTGAATGAAACTGAAGAGAAGGACAAGAGGGTCAGTGTCCTATGGTCACAGGGCCTGTTCCCACCACATGCCCACGGCTGAACTCCAGTTCTGCCTCTTACAGCAAGAATGATCTTAGAGAAGTTGCTTTCCCTGTTTTAACCCAGGAGCTTCACTGAAAAATGGGAAAAATGTAACTTCCTTGGTACAAGGTACAAACAACACACAAGAGGAGTGCCGAATATTGACTCTGGCACAGAGAACATGGGTAATAAAGGATAATTTAGCTTCATGGGTGACCATTCCAATGAAAACAGATCAAACTAGAAAAACAGTGTCTCCCTCTTCTTCCCCAAGGAGAGGGCTCTATCTGGCTTTATTTTACTTTTCAGATGCAAAAAACCTCCACACTATCACCAGGATATTCTCTTTCCAAATTCTAGTTCTCTTCTAATCATCTCCAACAAAAATGTCACCACAAAGAATAGAGCCAGAAAGGAAAGGACTTACATCTATGGTCAAATAAGGAAGAATGTCTTCACCACTACTGATTCAACAGAGGAAAAGACTCAAAAGGAATTCTTGGTAAAATATCAAGTGGGGAGAACTCCAGCCTGGGAAGGGGTAATGTGACTTCATGCTGGGACAATGAACACTGAGTTAACTACACCTTGCACAAAACATGGCCTCAGTGAGAAGCAGTCAGTGCTCAACACCTAGCAATGGAAAAGGGCAGATGAAATGGCCATCCCAAGCACCATCAGAACCAAAAGGAAGGAAGGAAGGAATGCTCTCTTAAGCCTATCTCTGCCCAAGGACACATAGCACAAGGCTAGGTGGTATCCTTGGAAACCAAACGGGTCACAACATTCAAACCTAACAGCAGAAGCTGTACAAACTTTATTATGCTCAGTAGTTGGTTTTACTCTACAGAAGGAGGGTAGCATGGAGGTGAAAGACACAAGGAACCCCTGTGGCCAAGTTTGAAACCTAGCTCCTGTACCTCCTAGCTGTGTGGCCTCTCTGTACCTCACTTATCACCACCTAGAAAACAGGCTAACAAATCAATAATTTTACCTATGCTCCACAGAGTTGCTATTCAGAAATACTAATTTCTAAGGCAGAATACTGCTAATGCTGTATAAGTATTTGGCAAATAGAAATAATTATTACAATCCAGTCCACACATACCTAACAACGGAAAATGCTATCCTACACCTCAAAGATGCTTTTATTTTTATGTTGACTCCTAGGAACTCAGTTGTTTATCAGAAAACTCTTCTCTTAAGCAGGAAGATTGAACAGGTCCAAAATCCAGAGGTCACTCTGATATAGGAAAAATGGAAGCTGACAGCTTTTCATGCAGTTAATAAATTATAGCCTAGACCAGAATAAATAAAAATTATTATTTACTGAGCTCCCATTGAATCAGTCATTTTCCAAGCTGTTGTTTTTTGATTAGTAGTCACAGAACACAAGCTGGGCATGATGGTACATGCCTATAATTCCAGAACTCAGGAGGCTGAGGCAGGAGGATTGCAAGTTCAAAGACAGCCTGGACTTCATGGTAAGATTCTGGCTCAAAATAAAAATTAGAATGAAAAAAAAAAAAACAACACAGAACATGATAGAAAGAAATGTAGCAAGGTTTAGTTCCTATACACAATGGAATAAAGTTGCATTTACCATAGTTATTCATTATGGCACTGTACGGTTTCCTCTTTTGAAGACTCAGAAACTTGGTTTTGTCTACACAGTCATTCATTCAACAATTACTCATTGAATACCCTCTTTGTGCCTGACAACTGTGGCAGGTTATGTGGAGAAAACAGAAAACAAACCATTACAATTGCTGCCTGCCTTTACCAACCTGACAATCTGGGAGACAAAATGCACATTAGATGTTTAAAACCAAATGTGAATAAACCAACGTGGGGGATAAAAGAAACAGATCATCAACAGAATCATTTATAATGAGATGAGTTTCAGGTAGACCACAACTCTTATTTCAAGACCCACCCATCTCTTCCTTACAGCCTTGCCTACGTAGGACAGATGCACAGTGTGGATGGCATTAGGCACCACCTGACTAAAGTCTGACTGTTCAGGGCTATGAATTTCCTGTTCCGAACTTTCCACCATCTCCCCACCCTTATCCTGCCAATTCTCCCATTCTCGCTGCTGTTCTCAAAAACACCACAGTTCATTTATTTAATTTCTGCATCCTACGTTACAACCACATTCCCATCTTGCCTCATCAGGTTTCTTCACTCTCATCCTGATTAGTTTTCCAATTCTAAAACTTCTTCTGATTCATGGCTATAGAAATGTTATTTATTCTAGAGAAGGTCACTGCATTCTATCTTCGTGGAGTCAACTCATTAAAATCTCAGAGGGCAACTCCATTTCTGTTATATTCAAGTTTCAGGTTTGTGTGGTAGTGGGAGTGAGGAAAGGTGATTAGGGAAGATATACACTGAAGCTTTCGCTCTATAAACTCTAAAAATAATTATCTCAATCTGCAAAAACAATCCAATGAACCCCAAAAGTTAATATTATATGAATCATTAAGTGTATTGCACAATAGAATTTGTCAGATATTATACAAAGGTCAAAATTAAAATATGAACTTAGAAGGTTCATAGTCTAAATTCAGTAGTCATTTCCTGCTATGAACTAAAAGAGGCACTTGATGTTGTAACAGAAAAAGCACACACACACACATACACACACACAAGAGAAGTGTCAATCAGCATTTAGATCATCAACAAATAAACATCTGAATCCATGCAGAAGTAAAATGCCATGCTATTTAATTTCATGTAAAAATAGTATCTATTTTTTCCTCCATTTCATGGAAAGTGTGTCCCGAGACTCAGGGATTCTCAAAACCTTGCTTATAATCAAACATATAAAGAAACTATTTTTGTACTTTTCACTAAGCCCCACTGGATGGAATAAGATAATCTCATATCTGAGGTGATGGGGTCCCCTGTGGGGATATTATCTAAGTGACCATTTAGCTAGACAGGTTTTTAGTTTTTCTGGAAAAACTACCAGAAGGTCACAATCAACACAGCCAGAGATGATCTCTGTGAAGCATTCACCCTAACCAAAATAAATGGGCCAATGTACCAACCAGAATGCTGATTTATTTCATGACAATAAGGGCCCTGTTTGCCCCCAGCCAAGTGACAAAAACAAATGAAACTCCCAGAGTTTCAGAGGAGCCATATAATCTCAGGTTGCAGTTCATCAGTTCCTCCTTACAATGAGAAAAGAGAATTATAGGAAATTTCCATTAAATGGAAAAATAAAAAGGGTTTTCCTTTTTCCTTTCCTTTTATTCCTCCCCCTCACACACACAATACTGGAAATATCAAATCCAAGGCCTCACACATGCTAAGCAAGGTCTCTACCCTGAGCGAGCCCTAAAAGTTTTTATTTAAAGATTTTAAAAATATGGTAAAACATGAACCAGAATACAGTCTATGGAGAGAATGTACTTCAGTTGGGTAATTATTTAAACAAACTCTCACTCAGTGAACTTTAAAATAGATTATTTTAAAGAAATAGATTATTCTCCAAAGAAATTGTTCTGTGTCTCTCCTTTTGGTAGGAACATCTCCATGGATCAGCCCAGAACATAGAATTTATTTGGTTTTCTTTAACTATTTTCTAAATACAAAAATTATGACTATATCCCTCCTGATCACTACCATGAAGTTTTCATCCACGAAAACCACTACTTTGAATTCAAAGGCAAAAGTTATCTGAGTCTACATAAATAAAATCTTGGTCTTCACCTTGAAATATGAATTGACTTTCACAAAGAAATTTCATTTAAAAAGACAAATTTTCATGTAGATTACTGTTGCAGAATATCATTAATTCCAATATTTGCTCAGTAAATCTATTTTAAAATCTTGACATACTTGTCTACAACATATCAGTTACAGAGTATGAAGGATAGCTTAGACATAAAAATAACTACACATGAAAGTCATATATAAAGTACCTTCTATTTGAAAATCTGTAATACACAGATCTTATGGCAAAAGTTCCTTAATTTGAACTCTAAGGGAACCTTTCAAGTTAAATGAATTTTATGTAGCTATTTGTGTATGTGTGTGTGTCAGTGCTGTGCAGTGAGCCTAGGCAGAGCCTTACTGTGGTATTTTCCATTGTAAGAGCCAAAATCTTCAGCGATATCTTTCATATCATCTTTTACACTATGGCACAGAGACCAGTATTTAGCTGATCCCATAATGCATTTGATATAAAGTTTCCTATCCCTTGTAGCTCCTGCATGGCCACCTGCTCAATATTCATGTTGTTCCTTTCCACTGCCACAAACAAACGTGGTTTAAAGTAAGACACTAAGACTCCCTTAAGTTATTTCCAGTCAAGGAAAAACTCACCAAGCACAATGACCACGGTCTTCAGAAGACTCATCATGGTATCCCGATTCCGCCGTGGTCCAGAACTATGTCGAGACATTCTCATAGTCCTCTGTCGAACATAGCCAAAGATGTGAGCATAAAGAACCACCATCACCACAAACGTCACCAAGTTGAAAATGGCCCAGAAGACTAAGTAGGAGTCACTGTAGAGGGGCGCCATGTTGGAACAATTTTCAATATCACAGATACAGTTCCAGCCCACACTCGGTATAGCACCCATCACAATGGCCATAGTCCAGATGACCACAATGACCACCACCACCCGCCGGTTGCTCATCCGTGTGTGGAGCTGCATGCGGAAAACCGTTATGTGTCTCTCAATTGCAATCGCCAGCAGATTGGCCACAGATGCCGTCAGGCTGGTGTCAATGAGGCCCTGACGGAGGAGCCATGTGCTAACAGTCAGTCTCCGAGTATTGGGTCCTGTGTTGAACATTAGATAGAAGTAGGCCAACCCAGCAAAGAAGTCCGCAGCAGCCAGGTTAGCCATTAAGTAATAAATAGGAAAATGGAAACGACGGTTGACGTAGATGGCCACCATGACCAGAAGGTTGGCCAGCATGATAAAGATACAGACAGTGATACCAAGTCCCATCACCAGCTTGCTGACTGTGTTCCATTCTGTTGCAAGATACTTTCCACTCCGGTTATAAAAGAAGGCGATGGATTCATTGTAGAAGCACTGTGGTTCATTCATGGCTGTGAACTAAAAGAGAAAGGAGCAAAGATGATGAAAAAGAGAAAAAAGAAACCACAAATCCAAATTTAAAGATGTACAGACACCAGTGACTTCTATGGTACATATAGCAGAAAGACAAAAGCAAACAATGTGAAAATCTGATCCTGTACAATGTTCTATGATTATACCAAAACCCCAAGGTTTCTCACAGCCCTCAAGATTAAAGACAGTTGGAGCTAAATAAATGACAAGGTCTCTGCTTGGTGGTTGCATGTCATTGAAATATACTAGAAAAGCCACATGGCCCAGAAATCTTGCTTAAAATACATGAAACAGACAAAAATTTTGCAGAACCTTGCAATTGGACTATTTACTATAAGTTTATTTTGACCTGTTATTTCGGGAATCTGTAAACACAGGTGGTTTATAGATAGGGTATCATTGCCCTATTATTCTGCATTTTCTGTTCTCACATAGCATGTTCGATTTGTGACAGACAATTTGTAATGCAGGTTCCCACAAGGACCATCAGTCCTAACATTTCAAAGAGGTCACTATGCTTCAAAGGTTCTTTGGCCAAAGCCAGCATTTGCTATTGAACATTCCTGTGGTGAGCACAGCCTACCCCCACAACTCCTCAACCCCAGAATAGCATCTGTCAGCCAATCTATGACGCTTGAGAACATTTTTCTTTTGGACCTAATGTAACCTCCAAAGGGCAGTTGATACTTGACACTGTTCCACAAGAAGAAATATATTTAGATTAGATGAAGTGTATATTTTTCAAATGTGGAGTGATAAAGCTTATTTTTTAAAATCAATGACTAGAATATATTTGCTTATTACTTATACTCACACTTGAGTACAAAAGGGATTGAGGTAGTTTAAAATAGACTAATATAGTTAGCCAATAAAACTGTTAAAACAAAATTAGAAAATAAGTAACAAAGGAGAAACTAGACAATTACACATCACACAGACTAAATCATTCTTCCTGAAACCTTAAGTTAGTCTGAAAACTTCTAGAATTAGAAAATATTCCTTGAACACAGTTCACATTTTATCTTTTTTTAATCTTGCTGTGCTTCTAACAAATTACTTAACAAATATAACACTTTTAACCACTATTTTTAATAAAATATTCTATTGAATATTCATAGGTCACACCTAGATGTTTACCAAACACTAACAATTCCAGTTACTGTGAAATACTTAAGTGGTTAGTTTTTTGACTTGTCTGGATATCTAAAGTCTCCTTCCTTATCTAGACTTTAATAGTTTTCAGATCACAAGTCTAACATTACATGTAATATGCTGTATAATTATTTATCTCTTGATTTTTCTGTTTATGAAAGAGAACATACTCTGGGGGGAAAAGTGAAGATCTTGTCTTACATTTCTTGGCATCTTCTATACCTCTCACAGAAATCAGAGAACTTGGCTTATAGTTCTTCATTCCGCCCCAAATCTTGCCATTACTCTAGGCAATTCATCCACTTTTCTTGCTTTTTGCTACTTGACCTCATCTCTAATTACTTTCTATTTCATTACAACTTAGCTACCCACACCCATGGTCACACCCTGGACTTTGTAACCACCCATAACTATCTCCTTTTGGAAACACTTGAGATGTTCTAATTACTCATTACCATTTCCCATTCTTCAAATTTTCCCATTTGCCCCCAGTACATCAATTTTGTAAAGTTACCTACTTCCTTAACCCTTCTACTTTTTCCTAGTGGAATACCTCTACCTTTCCTTCATCCTCATTCAGCTTAGATTCACAGTAATTCATTTCAACCTCTTTATTGCTAACAGAACATCTTGAAAACATTAGGGTCAGATGTCCTTCAGAATTCTGAGTTTTTCTGGTTTAAAGAACAACCATTCAGGGCATAGGCCATACCTATCATCCCTGGCAGAATTTCAGGCAGCTCCATAATCACACACATCTATTTGTGAAGCAAAACATATTAACATATATATTAAATTTGGTAAGTGAAGGCTACACACAGTCTTACCTCAATTCATTCAGAGTTTTTGCCACCAAATGAGTCATGAGTGACCTTTAGTTTTCAGAGTTTCTTGAGCTTTGGAACTTTTAGATAAGGGAACATAAGGCTTTATCATTTAACCTTTTTGTCACATTGTACTTCTAAAAAATATATTAGAATAACATCAGTCTTGAACAAGTCCAATTTATTGCTACTTCCAAGTGTACTAAGGCTTCTGAGAAAGCTTAGATAGAGAAAATTCACACACCTACAGACTGATGCCAGTGCAAGTTCATGACGTCTCCCTCAACCTTGATGCAACACAACAACATATTTCTCCCCTAATTATTTCTCTATATATTCCATACAATGACTATTTTAACCTTATCTATGACTCTCAAACTTTTGATCCCATTCCTTCCTCTTTCCATCAGCTGTTGCCAGAGGAAAACAGAAATTATCAGATGGGAACTCTCTCACTTTTCTCCCACCAAAAAAGGCAAAATTACCTGTTCAATACTCCAGCTTTTGAACAGGTGGGCCCTTTGCCACCCAAGTGGCAAGTGCTCTGAATCTCATCTTTTCCAATTTCAAGAACCTTATGCTATCAATTGCTTCCTTTTCCTCGTTCCTCTTTTCCTTTCCTTTCTCCCCTTCCCTCCCCTCTTCCTTTAGCACCATTCTTCCCCATCAACATTCAAGAGTGGTCTCTGTCATTTTTTTTTTTTTTTAGTGGTCACCCAGGATCATGCTCTCCTTCCAGCCAGTCAGGTTTGATTTTTTTCTCAGCCAAATCCTCTCTGATATCTGTCTCCCACAGATTTTTCACAGAATGGCTTCTACTCCACCCACCCATTAAATCCACCCCCTAGTCAAATTCTTGAAATCCATGTAACTTTCCAACATCACTCTCATCTTTGAATGGCTGTCTTAACAAACTTTTTCTTCCTCCCCTTTGACTTCCCCAGAACATCAGACACATGACCAAGAGGCTCTTTTTGGAAAGCTCCCTTTCTTTGCCTCCCATAGCATCATACTACCTGGGATTTAATTGTTCTTTCAGGCTGGGTCTTCTCAGTCATTTTTGAGGATTCCTCTCCCTCACATGGATGTTTCTACACTATTTATATTTTCATTCATTCAACACACTTTCATGACCTACTTCACCCCCCAAGATTTCAATTACTCTACATACCCCAAATACTTCCAGATCTATATATTTAAACCATACACGTCTTTCCTGAGCTCCAGGCAAATAATCAATTATCTTCTGATATGTCTATTGGCTGTCCCCATAAGTACTTCAGTTATAGTATTTAAGGCTATACTCAAACTTATAATCTTCCTCATGACCCCCAACATGCTCCTTCTATATATATTGCCTATCCCAGAAAAGATAATTCCTATCTGTCCAGTGGCCTGAGTGCTAACCCTGGGAATTTCTCCTCCCTCATCCTCATCATTTATACCCAAATCTTGGAGGTCTCCTTTCTGCATATCTGCTCAACCTGTCCATTTTCTCCAAACTCATAACCATCATTATTACTAACTACACTGGCTTCCTAAGTGTTCTTTCTACTCAGTGCTAATCTCTTCTCTAGTGATCTTTCTAAAAGACAAAGTTAACCAAGCTACTCCCTTACTGAATATGCTAATGGCTTACAAATATACTTAAGAAGAAAATCTAAACTCTCCAACCATCTTGACTCTCCAGCCTTAATTCAAACTATTAAGGACTCTGCTCCAGCTCTGTTTAATGTACTGTGCTCTCTTTCACCTCTGGCTCTCAGCATGCAGTGGTTTCCTGCATCAGAATCACCTGAGTGTAAAATCCACATTGCTGCCATACCACAAAGAAGTTCTGATTCAGCAGAGCTGAGGTAAGGCCCCAAATAATGCTAATTTTGCTGGTCCAGGAACCACACTTTGAGTACTTCAACCTTCCCCCATTTTTTATCAGTGAAATGCTGTTCCTCCTGGTCATTCCCTTACTGAATGGGACAGATAGTTAACTATCTGTTCATTCCTTCTCCACTGAGCTAGAAACCCTATCAGAGTGGAGATTCTAGCTTTCCTGTTTATTGCTGTATAGCAGCAACTGTCTGTCAGATGGATTCAAAGATAAATAAATGTTAGTTGCATTAACAAAGTAAAGATCATTCAAAAATCATTTACACTTTGCAAGTTTACATGTCTGCAAAGGATATACAAAGAAATCACAGTATAAATGCAAAATTCTCTTCTTTCCATTAGCCTCTGTAGCCATTTATTTTCTCTGGACAAAGAATTTTTGAAAATCAAGTATTATGCATATACCATTTCACAGCATTCCAACTTCTGAACACCAATTACCATCAAAGTCAAGTGGGGATACTTTTTAGCCCTTTCCAGGGGTTTTTCTATTTATTTAAACTTAAATTTTAATTATCATGAAATAGAAAAGTAAAAAAATTATTTTGAAGCACAATGGGTGTTTGTGCCTCTTTAGGACCCGAAGGATTCACACTAAGCCCATGTAAAATTCAACTTAACTTAATTAACAACCAGACAATTAGCCAATAAGATAGTCAAACAGAGGGAAAAAAAAAATCTAACACAATTGGGAAAAAAATGCAATCTCAAAGAAGAGCAAAACACCTCCGCAGAAGCAAATTAATTGGGGGGTGAATATTGAAATAAATTATAGCATATTCCTGATTTGTTTCTCCATGTGTTTTATTGGGACACTAGCAATGAGATAGAATAAGCTACTATTAAGACAAAAGAAATCAGTGAAAATTACATAGAGTCTATATTAGTTTCTTATTGACACTCCAACATATAAATTTCCTAGCTGAAATACACAAATTTATTTTCCTATAGTCCTGGAGATGAGGAGTCCAAAAGGGATCTCCCTGGGATAAAATCAAGGTGCTGGAGAGGCTGTGTTACTTTTAGAGGCTTTCAGGGAGAACTTATTTTTCTTGTCTTTTCCAATGTCTGCAGGCTGCCCACATTCCTTGACTCATGACCCCCTCCAACTTCAAAAGCCAG